ACCACCAAACAACTCCTTGTCCTTCCCTGAAATCTCCAAAATCTCCACCGTGATTAACTCCATTGGCCCCACCTGTAACCTCCTCGTCTTCGGACTCACTCACGAATCTCTCCTCTGGAGATCTATCAACTTCCAAGGCCGTACTGTCTTCGTTGATGAAAACCCTTACGCGGTTTCTAAATTTGAGCAGACAAATCCTGGAGTTGAAGCTTATGATGTTGTTTACTCAACTAAAGTCTCCCAAGCTGGTAAGCTTTTGGGTTATTACAAAACCCGACCCGAATGTCGACCCGTTCAGAATCTTTTGTTCTCAGATTGTAAATTGGGGATTAATGATTTACCCAATTTTGTATATGAGATCGATTGGGATGTGATTTTGATTGATGGGCCTCGAGGGTACGCCGCTGATTCGCCGGGAAGAATGGCTCCGATCTTTACTTCGGCGGTTTTGGCGAAGAGTAAAGATTCCGGTAAGAAGAAGACGAAGAATACGACGGATGTTTTTGTACATGAGTTTGGGAGAAAGTTGGAGAGAGTTTACAGTGAGGAATTTCTATGTGAGGAGAATCTGAGAGAAGTTGTCGGAGATTTAGGGCATTTCGTTGTAGCGGCGGAAGAAGGGGAAAATCAGGGTTTTGGGTTTTGTCGGAATTCGACGAAATTGACGGAGGTTTTCACGCCGGTAAGTGGTGGCGATGAAGAGGTCGGTGCTGATGAAGACTGAAAGCGGGGTACTTTTGGTATGGCTCTTTTGTAATTATTTTAGGTTTTTGAGGTCTTTTGTTTTGTTTTTTTATCGTTTAGTGTTTTAAATTTGTTTTAATTTCGGAGACGGTTACACTTGAAACCTGGGAGTAGAAGATGTATCCAAATTCCAAAAACAAATGTCAGTCCATTGATGAAAGCATACAAAATTTGTGATTAAAGACCAAATTTGAACTTATATATATGTGCCTGAATCTGTAAATTTTTTGGGTTTGAAGACAAACATTAATTACCATTAATGTTAGTCTTGAATTTCATTTTATTTGTTGCTAAAGAAATTGTATTTATGGTTCGACGTGGAGAATATTATTTGTTTTGATTCGTGAGGTTTGTGTTTTGCTCTTTCGTTACTCTACTGGAAAAATTTCTAAGAAAATGTTCTAAAAATGGTGTCGGTGGTGACAGAAGTCCCTGAGAAAGCGGGACTTATCTCGGAATGTGGCTTTCCCCTTTCCAGCGCTAATCACATATCTCGCACTTTCGATTTTGAAATTTAACCTAAATTTATAGACTTTAGCACCAAAAAAAAATCTTTACTTTATGGAAAAACTATTAAACTTAGGGAACTTATTCATTTGTTTTGTCCTTTACAACTAATTAAGCTTCGATTTAGAATATAAATTGTCCGAATAGAGTAGAGTTGAGTTATTCTGACATAAAATATTTAAAAAGAAAAGAGTGGAGTTGAGTTCCATTTATGTTCTTCGGATACATATGAAAAAAAGTTGAATACCATTAGTAAATGGTGGATCCATAAACGTTTATTATATTGGGAAACAATTTTAATACGACCCACGGTTAGTGTAGAAAATTTAATAATCAATCACAATTACAAAATTACTATCTACCTCGGTCTTCATGAACCATCACTACAAAAAACACGGCTGATAACGTCAGTTTGTTAACGTCGAATATCAAACCGACATTAATTTTTTTAATTGGACGCAATTTGGCGTCAATTATTAAACCGACTCTAAAATCTAAACCATTTTAATAAAAGAGATTAGCTAGAATAACCTACTGTTTTTTTTTTAAATAGCTAGAATAACCTTACTATTTTTTTCTTGTTGAAATAACCTATTCTAGATTTTTTTTCTTTCATAATACTAAAATTGGCCTTCGCAGATTCTGCTGAGGTATTGGCAGATTCTGCTGAAACATTGTCAATATCTAAAAATACGCAGACTCTGCCGAACATTGACAGTCTCTGCCGAAATATTGGCAGACTCTGTCGAGGTATTGACAGACTCTGCCGAATCATTGGCAGACTTTGCAGAAACATTGGTAGACTCTACTGATGTATTGGCAGACTCTGCCAATATCTAGAAATACGTAGACTCTGCCAAAACATTGACAGAGTCTACCAATGTTCGGCAGAGTCTGCCAAAAACAATTTTGGTATTATGAAAGAAAAAAAATCCAGAATAAGTTATTTCAGCAATAAAAAAATGGTAAAGTTATTCTAGCTATTTTTAAAAAAACAAAAATTATTCTAGATAAATTTTTCTT